TGGGAATCTAGATTGGTGGAGCCACGGTGGACAGCAGTATGGAGGGTCCTCAAAAAGGTAAAAATGCCCCATCCAGCTAGCTCAGCGGGTTATAGTGTCGTCCTGATATGCCAAGGTTGTGGGTTTGATCCCTGGTCAGGGCACATACAAGAAGCAACCAATGAACGCATACGTCACTGGGACAACAAATCAAAGCTTCTCTCTCTCTAGAAAAATAATAAATTAAAAAGAAAAAAATTAAAAATGGAACTGCCTTATGACCCGGCGATTCCACTTCTGGTTACTTATCTGAAGAAACCCCGCACACTGGTTTGAAAAGACACGTGTGCCCCCCACCTTCATCACAGTGTTATTTACAATAGTCAAGCTACGGAAGCAACCCAAGTGCTCAACGATAGACAAGTGGATAAAGCACATACACACAATGGAACATGAGCCACAGAAAAGAACAAAATCTTACCATTTGTGACAGCGTGGAGGGGCCGGGAGGGTACACTAGGTCCTCGGTTACGTCAGAGATCCGAGCCTACGGTGCGACGTAACGCAATTTTCGCCATAAGTCGGAACCCACCTACGTAAGCACTTACGTCACTCACATGGAGCACATACACAGCAGTAATGAAGTGAAACAGTAAAAAACAAGTTTAAAAGGAAGATACAATTCCTGACCTTTACTTGTGGTAAATAATAAAAAACATTAAGCACATATGTACATACCTCGAAATGATGGAACATTTTTTAAAAAAATAAATGGGAGATGGCGATGTAACCACAAAACGACGTACGTACATGGAGTCCGACGTAACCCAAGGGCTGCCTGTATTGTGCTAAGTGAAATAAGTCACACAGAGAAAGACAAATACCATATGATTTCGCTCATGTGTGGGATCCAAAGAGCAAAACAAACAAGACAGACTCACAGATACAAAGAGTAAACTGGTGGCTGCCAGATGGCAAGGATGTTGGAGGACTGGGTGAAAAAGGTGGAGGGATTAAGAAGTACAAATTGGTGGTTGCAAAATAGTCATGGGATGTAAAGTACAGCACAGGGAACACAGTCAATTATATTGTAACCAGAGGCCTGGTGCATGAATTTGTGCACCAGTGGGGTCCCTCGGCCTGGCCTGTGGGATTGGACCAAAACCAGCTCTCCGACATCCCCTGAGGGGTCCCAGATTGTGAGAGGGCGGTTCTCAGGTGACGCACCCGGGAATCAGGCTCCCTCCTCTCTGTTTCTGGGTGCATCACCTGAGAACCACAGCTGCCAAGTCACCGCAGCTTGGCAGCTCCTGCATTGAGCGTCTGCCCCCTGGTGGTCATTGTGCGTCATAGCTACCGATCAGATGGTCAAACGGTCGGATAGTTGCTTAGGCTTTTATAGAGAGAGAGATGGAATGTCAAAAAAAAAATAATTAAAAAGAAAAGAAAAAACCTTCGTTGACATGATGAGTGGTCTCTGTCCTCTGTCTGGATCTTGGAGACACATCTAGTCTTTGACCCACACGCTTACCACTTGCATTGCCGTCCATCTACCCGTTCATCTTAGATGCCAGCTAGAGCCGCCCCTTCAACATCACCAACTCGCTTTCACATTTCTCAGAATGAAGATCTGCTTAGGAAAAATTCTCTCGGTTTTTGTTTATAGAAAATGTCTTTACTTGGCCTTCATTTTGAAGATTTTGCTGGATATAGAGTTCTTGTTTGACAGTTTTTAATTTCAGCATTTTGATGTTCCAAAGTTTTCTGTCCTCTATTGTTTCTGCTGCGAAGTCGGTTAATCGTGTCATTGTCCCTCTGTGTAACCTGTCTTTCTCTCACTTCCAAGATTTTCCAAGATGTTCCCATTCCCGTTGGCTCCCAGGGTTGGCTATGGTGATCCTAGGACTGGTTTCCATCGTTTCCATCTGGCTTCAGGCTCACTGAGGCTCTTGGATCTAGCGTTTACATGGCTCACACATTTGGGGTGGTTTCTGCCTTATCTCTTCAGGGGCGTGTCCTGTCCCTTTCTCCGTTCCCTCCTCCTGAGACCGTCACGTGCGTGGCTGCTTCATGTGGCCCCACACGGCTCCAAGGCCCTGCTCATCCTTCCTCTTCGGCCTCTCCATTTTTTGGATTATTTCTATTGCTCTATCTTGAAGTTCACCAATTCTTCTGCTACCTCTAATCTGCTGTTCAAACCATCTAAACACACACACGCCCAATTTTCCATTTTAGTTTTCATACTGTTCAGCTCTAGAAATTCCATTTAACAACTTTTTAAAAAATCTCTTGAGCTTCCTTATCTGTTCACTCATTAAAATAATTATCCCTTAATTATTGATACATATTTATAATATGATTTGAAGTGATTGCTAAGTTCAGCATCATGGTCCACTTGGCGCCAATTTCTATGTTTTTTCCTGATTCTACATTTTTCTTCTTTGCATGTTGATTAATTTTTGGTTGAAAATCAGACATTGCAGATAACACAGACATTGTAGTGATTCTGGATTCTGTTGTGTTCTCGTGATGGTTACTTTGTTGTTATTGCTTTGGAGCGCAGGTAACTGGCCTGTATTCAAACTACAAATTCTGTCTCACCCCACAGTTGCAGCAGCTGAACGTGCTCAGTCCCGTCAGCGTCCAGCAGCAGCTGGGGCGGGGTGTACTCCCGTCTGCCTGTATAGTTGGGCAGTCAGTCAAGGATTTCAGGAAAGTTTTTGTTTTTTTTAAATACATTTTATTGATCTTTTCACAGAGAGGAAGGGAGAGGGATAGAGAGCTAGAAACATCGATGAGAGAGAAACATCGATGAGCTGCCTCCTGCACAGCCCCCACTGGGGATGGAGCCTGCAACCCAGGCATGTGCCCTGATCAGGAATTGAACTGTGACTTCGTGGCTCATAGGTCAAAGCTCAGCCCCTGAGCCACGCCAGCGGGGCGGGTTTCAGTAAGTCTGCAGTGAGGTTATTCTCCCTGTGGTTCCCTTGCTTCTCAAATTCCCTTTAAGTTCACAGCTTCTCTGTCAGCGTCAGGTTAGATAGTTGACCCTGAACAACACGGGAGTAAGGGGCACCCACCCACCCCTCATGCAGTTGAAACTCCACATATAACTTTTTTGGGTCCTTTTGTCTTTTTAAATAATGTTTTTATTGATTTTTAGAGGGAGAGGGAGAGGGAGAAGGGAGAGAGATAGAAACACCAATGAGAGAGAAACATTGATCGGCTGCCTCCTGCACGCCCCCTACTGGTTTAAGCCCACAACCAAGCACGTGCCCTGACCGGGAATCGAACCATGACCTCCTGGTTCATAGGTCGATGCTCAATGCTCAACCACTGAGCCACACGTCCGGGCAGCCTGGCTCTTTTCAGTACATGCACTCACTGGGTGGATGGAGACAGGAAGCCACGAGCTGAGTCCCGCGTGGGCGTGGTCACTCCATCTCCGTGTCCGGCCGACCGGCCGGGGGGAAGTGGGGTCTGCTCACATGTGCTGCCCTGGCCGAGGACCTACCGAGCGCAGCCTGTTGGGGGGAGGCTTTGGCTACTGTGGCTCTAGAGTCACCCCAGGGCGCAGGAGCAGGACCAGGACCCATGGGTCAGTGGATAGGCCCTGCGCGGTTGGTTTGGCCTCCGCTGTGGCCTGGCGAGCCCTGCAGAGTTGCGTGGGAAGGGGCTCAGTCCTGGGCCCCACATGAGAGGCGTGACACCTGCCTGAGGCTGCAAGGCCGATCGCTCGGGTGAGCTGCCGTGTCCACAAGCGTCCTTCCCTCGAGTCTGCAGGACGGGGCTGGGCTGCGCTCTCCACAGGCCGTTCATCTGGGGACCCGTGACTTGGCTCCTCCAGCCCCGCCTGAGGTCAGCAAAGGCCAGGCCCCTCTCCCCCCACCCCCACCCCCCACAGGAAAGCGCAGGGCTCCCTCTTATCTGTCACGTCACCTCCCTAGGCCACATGGCCTCTGAGCCCTGGACCCCGGTCCTTTTCTTTCCTGTGGCCTCAGCAGCCCTGGCAGGCGCCCAGGGACACTCCGCACAGGAGGCTGGAGCGCCCCCCCTATCCCAGGCTCCCCACTGCGCGCACACAGAGGGACCCGTCCCAGGCCCCTCATGGCGCACACACAGAGGGACCCGTCCCAGGCCCCCCACTGCGCGCACACAGAGGGACCCGTCCCAGGCCCCCCACTGCGCGCACACAGAGGGACCCGTCCCAGGCCCCTCATGGCGCACACACAGAGGGACCCGTCCCAGACCCCCCACTGCACACACACACAGAGGGACCCGTCCCAGGCCCCCCACTGTACGCAGAGGGACTCGTCCCAGGCCCCCCACTGCACACACACAAAGAGGGACCCGTCCCAGACCCCCCACTGAGCGCACACACAGAGGGACCCGTCCCAGGCCCCCCACTGCGCGCACACACAGAGGGACCCGTCCCAGGCCCCCCACTGCACACACACAAAGAGGGACCCGTCCCAGACCTCCCACTGCGCGCACAGAGGGACCCGATGTGTATGTTCAATGCCGTTAGGGCAACAAGGACGGGAGTCAGGTTTTGACTAGTTATCTGACCAAACCTACACTCATCTGAGAAGGGGACCGAGACGGGGGCTGGGGGTGCTGCCGCAGGGCCCTCCCGTCACCCGAGGCGCTGGGCCGAGCCGTCCGCTCTGGGCCACCAGAGGCCTCTTTGGGCCACAGTCCAGCGTCCAGGCGAGGAAGCCTGGTCACGGCGGAAAGGGAAGATGCCGCCGACAGGCTAACACCCCTCCCTTCAGCATGGAGCCCTCAGTCCTTGCCAGCTGTCCGGCCCGGCACCTCAGTGTGACCCCAACCCTGAGGTCACTGCGCTCGAAAAGGTGGTGGTTCAGGGAGAGCTGAGCTAGAGGCAACACAGAGCCCTCCCGGCCCCACAGGGCGCGTGTACACACTCAGCACCCCAGGGCCAAGGCGGGGGGGGGGGGGGCGGGCGGGGGGGGGGGTACTGCTCTGATGGAGGGGGTGCAGAAAATTGTTGTTTCATATTTTATTACATCAATGGCTTGAAAATTTTTATTTAACTTCAGCAAATATTGGGAATAGAAAAATGAACTCTGCAGAATCGCACAAATAAATTTTCCCGATCTCCACTAACAAATGTTATCCTCCGACGGCTAAGCAATGATCATGCTATGAACAGTCACCATAATCATGAGTACTGAGACAGAAAACAGGCGGAGACAGTCAAATATTCCTCACACAGCAGAGTGCAGCTTCTTTTCTTTAAAATCCCCAGGCGGGCTTCATCACTTGAAAAGATATACAGCAATTCGACGATCGTGTCAAACTTAGCCTTGCACATCTTTTAAAATCCTGAAGTTTTTAGCAACTTACAAAGCACTCGGCCGAGCTGGGCCTGTGCGGGCTGTCGGCTCCGGGAGGGGCCTGTGCACACCGGTGGCTGGGAGCACCGACGGGGCATCCGCTGAGCAGGCGGCTGTGCTTCAGCTGGTGAGGAAAGGCGGGCGCAGGCGCAGGGGTGCCCGCTGCTGGGCCTCGCAGGCCTCGGCTTGAGGCAAAGCTGCACATGATTAAAAGCCGGAGTCTGGGCTTTAGGAGTGCCTGGGGGTGGGGGTAGGGGTGGGGCAGCCGGCAAGCAGACGGTGGGGTGGGGAGAAGTGGGGGCTCTGCCCTCTCCGAGGAAGGAGGGAACCACCTTCCCAACCTCCAGAACCCCTGGGCCCTGCAGTCTGCCCAGGCCGGTGCGGGGGAGCCAGCGCGGATCACTCTCAGCCTTGAGGCCCTGGACCCGCTGCCACCACCTGCTTCCTCCAGGACTGAGCGGTTCACCCCCAAGTGTCAGAAGACGCGGTCCTGATGGCGCCCAGCCGTGTGCACTGGCCCGGGCCTTCCAGTCCAGCGCGTCTCCGGACCGGGCTGCGCCGAGGGCGGTGAAGCGTGTCCTGGAGGGGAATGAGGGAACCGTGTTTGCGTGGACAGACATCCTCTGGGAAGACAACAGCGGAGGGAAAACGTCATGGCCCAGAGGCATGGGCATTATTCCCAGAACAGTGCGAGGCATCTGTAATTACATTTATTCCAGGGATGAAAAACTGGAATTTTATATTGTTGCATATTTTGAAATTTTTTGGGTAAGATAAGGGAACTATTAGGGGTTTTAAAGACCAACCTTTCGGCTCATGACGATAAAAGCCAAGTCCGCGTGTGAAGGGCGCGTGAGCGGCTGATGGGGTCCAATGAGGCTCCACCACCGAGGAAGGCGCCCCAGCCCCTTCTCATCGGGAAACAAGAGCAGAGCCCGGCGGGACGGGTCTGGCTGGTGGGGAGGGAAGCTCGTGAAGCAGCCAAGGGCGCTCTCTGCTCTGGGCAGGCCGCTTCGCTGGGCCGAGGGTGGTGCTACGCTCCATATGGAGCCGGTAAAAGGACAAGAAGGCTTCAGGACTCCCGAGGCGGACGATGGAACCACCACTGAAATCGCTGCTCTCCATCATCCTACAATGAACCTGAAACAAGACCTATACGCCTTTTTGGCCAAAGGGCCCAAACCATGAAGAACACAGTTGGTGGCAATGCCGTTACCTGCAAAGCAGAGGAAAGACCCTCTGGCACACGGTTCGGTGGCTTGAAAACGAACTCATCGATGGCGTAACGGTAATAACTTAAAGTGTCATGTTTAGTTGTGGAATACAGGTTTAGAGCTATTTTATAAATTTGGGATTCAGATATGAATATAAATAAAATAATGCATAAAAACAGAACAAAAGCTTGAATCCTGGGTCCTAGGGTTCAGCAAGAGGACGGCGGCTCCACCTCCTGTGCCCCGGCAGGTCCGGCCAGTGGGACGCACTGGTGGCTTATTTTTGGTGCACGGTTATACCAACAGTACATCTGATATTCAGAAAGACAAAAATAGGGGGGAGTAGGAATTTAAAGTGACAATGAGCACACTTACAGGCGCGTGATAGTTGAGGAAACTTTATACACGCAGGAAACTGCTTACTTTGTCCTGCAGAGTCAAGTTGTAAACCAATTGTGTTTTCATACTCATGTTCTGATTAGAGGTTTGTGAGCATCAAAGGGTCTTACAGGTTAAAAACTATCAAAGCATTTCACGGGACTGGCGTCTGGGTGGCACACACAGCGAGCCTGCTCAGCGGTGCCGCCCGACCTCGGCTCCTGGCCGCACTCACCAGTCCCGGAGGCGGCGGCTCCCTGGGTAAGAGCTACATTACGGAACTGATCACTGTTTCAAACCAGCCAGCACGACATTCAAGTAACAAGGTGTTTCAATGGAGAAGTGAGAAAAACTTTACCTAACACTTTACACAGCTACATAAAATTAAATAAAACAAACTTTTAATGCATATGTAATACAATTTATATCTTTTAGGATTTCTAAACTAAAACTATCATTTGTTTCAATGGTACTATATTTTGCACAATAACTTATACTTAGGAGAAATCTTCCACAAAAATATATAATTATGACATTCACATTGATACTCTTTAAGACAAAGCTGAGGGAACACGGTCCCTGACCTCCCACCCCACGCACACCTGTGATGCACCGAAGTCTTGATATGTTTAAAAGGGTCTTCACATCGGTAAGACCAGTCACTCGCTGTCAGCCAAGTGGTTTCTTGCATTTACATCATTGCAAAGACAGTGTAAGAACAGCTGAGCACACAGTGCTCTCTTAGGTGTGACACGGGCGGAAGCAGCCAGGCCAAGACGACGTCACTTCCTTCTGGCCAATGGAAACCACGGGCCCCTTTTCCTCGGAGACAGAGCCCATGTCAGCGGTGGTGCCGCGGGAAGACTAGTGCGGTGGCGCCGAAGCAGGTGAAGACCAAAGAGCACGTGGTGCTGAGCAAGCCGAGACCTGGCCCTGACTCGCTGCAGGACGGGCACCGAGCTCCCTGCGGCCAGGGACCAGTTCCCAAGGAACACAGCCTGGGCCAAGGGGAGGACAACCTGCTGGCAGAGGGAGAGCCCCTGCAGGAGGCCCCTGCTGCCTCAGGAAGGAACGAGGCCGGGGAGGAAGGAGGCCGGGAGGAAGGAGATCAGGGAGGAAGGAGGCCAGGGAGGAAGGAGGCCGGGAAGAGGGAGGCCAGGGAGGAAGGAGGCCAGGGAGGAAGGAGGCCAGGGAGGAAGGAGGTCGGGAATGAAGGAGGCCGGGAGGAAGGAGACCATGAGAAGCAGCAAGGAGCCTAAAGCCCCTGCCCAGGCTGTGTCCCTTACTGCGATGTGCAAAAGTATGACCCCTCCCCATGGTCCCCTGCGCTTGCAATGACACAGCAGGCTTGCGATGCAGAGAAAACCAAGCGTGCGTGCTTCCTAGTGTTATCTCGCTCCCTGCCCAGGCAGGACCGTGGCTGGACTGCCCTCTGCCTCCCGACTGCGCTCACCTGCGTGGATTCCCAGTGCAGGGACAGAGGCGGCGAGCTCAGAAAGTCCCATCTTACTGCCCCTTCCGAACAACCTTTGTCCAGGTTCCTTTAAACAAAAGGTCCAATTCCAAACAAGCTATGATTCTAGCTGACCCTCTTCCTAAAATCAGCTGACTTAAAAAAGGCAAGGTGCTTGCGTCAAAACACATCCAATTTTAATTGCATATTTCAAATTCTTAAGAATTGCCTCCGTGCCTTAAAGCCTCGCACTTCTCTTTTTTGGTATCGAAAGCAGGAAAGTGTTCACCTGGCGGGAGGACCACAGGCAGCTCCTGCAGCGGCTCGGCCGCCAGGCTCCCCCAGCCCGCAGCAGCTCCGGGCGCAGGGCAGCAGCTCCGGGCGCAGGGCAGCAGCGACGCAGCGACGCTGGGAGCCTCAGGACGCTCATTAGAAGTTTCACTGGCTCCCAGGCCAACCAGAGGCAGTGCACCCACTGCGGCTGTGTGCTCTCCGTGGGCTCATCAGCACCGGCCACCTGCTCCCGCCTCGCTCTGTGCTACGCTGTGGGAGAGGGCAGGGCCTGAGGACCAAGGGGTGTGGAGTGACAGGGAGAAGCCAGGCTGCCCAGGAGGAGGGGAGCAACGTGCACTTTTAGAAACCCTCCCGGCTACTCTGTTCCCGTGCGGACTGCCTGCCCCTCAGGCCGGCGGCGGCTCTCACACCCGGTGGTGTCATCTTTGGCAAGCAATGGACGTGAAAGAGCTACGACGCTGAAGCAGAAACGGGACTGAGAATGCGCGGCCCGAGGAGAAGGCACCAAGTCCAAGTGTACAAGCACCAGTGCAGGGCACGGACCAAATTTCCTGGAGCTGGTTGGGGGGAGCCGGGAAAAGAGGGCGGCATCCATCCCGGGGCTGCGATGCTGAGAGCTGAAGGCAGAGGATGGAGTCCACGTTCCTTTTAAGCTACGTGTCCAAAGAGAGCTGCTGCGAACCAGCTTTCTACCAGCCGGAAGGCAGAAGGAGGGGTCAACGCCAACTAGATTCATCAGCCATCATTGCACCTGTTCCGGGGAACAGGATCGAATCGGGGCGTTTGGCACGATGAAGGGGACAGTGCAGTCTGCACACACGGTGACATCAGAAACATGATCTCAGGTGGGGGCCTCCGAACGGAACCGGAGACCCCCCCCAGAAGGCCAACAGGTCCAGTTGCTGAGAACGACATGATGCACAGAGGAGCGATCCAGGCCATGCAGGAAGAGGCGTGCCTTCCAGTCGGCCACCTGCTCGGAAGCTGCGGACGGATGGGGAGAGCTGCCATGGGGGGCCCGGAGCTCTGCCTGGGGAAGCGGCCCCAGGGCCAGGGCGCCGTGCAGCCACAAGATCCCAGCACGTAGACCGAGCGAGATGCACGGAGCTCTCCGGGAAGTGGCGCCAACATGGAGGAACGAGCAAAGAATTAAGGCAGATGTAGCACAGGACCGGAAGTGTTGCTGTTTTTGGTAATAGCTGCTTGTCCACAGATGTGAGCAGATGGCTAGGCGAAGCCTTGTCATACCTGATGTCCGGGAACACAGACGCCCATACCACGTGCGGAAGCTGCCTGCGTTTCTCAGGAGGCAGATGCATATCTGACGTCAAGAACAGAAGCAGCCTGAGGAAAGGAGAACAAAAGAATCAGCCCGGCTGGCGTGGTTCAGTGGCTGAGTGTTGACCTTTGAATTAGGACAGTGGTCGGCAAACTCATTAGTCAGCAGAGCCAAATATCAACAGTACAACGATTGAAATTTCTTTTGAGAGCCAAATTTTTTAAACTTAAACTATATAGGTAAGTACATTGTTATTAACTTAATTAGCGTACTCCTAAGGCTTAGGAAGAGCCACACTCAAAGGGCCAAAGAGCCGCATGTGGCTCGAGAGCCGCAGTTTGCCGACCACGGAACTAGGAGGTCACAGTTCAATTCCCGGTCAGGGCACATGCCCAGCTTGCGGGCTCCATCCCCAGTGAAGGGCGCGCAGGAGGCAGCCAGTTGATGATTCCCTCTCATCACTGATATTTCTATCCCTCTCTCCCTCTCCCTCTCTGAAATCAATAAAAAAATATTTTTTTTTAAATAAAAGAAGAACAAAGAGCAGGAAACTATGCAAATGGCTTGTTCTGGCGTCCTGCAAGGAGAGAGGTGGACCTGCTGGCTGCCCCGTACACAGCGGGCACAGCAGATCTCCTGGGGCGGGCCCGGGAGGTGGCTGCACAGCGTGGCCCCTGCAGCCAGATGCCCGGCTCAGAGCCTGGCTCCGCCACTTTCCAGCTGCCTCCTTGCAGGATACACGCAGGCACGGAGCCCGCCACACAGGACAAACAGAAGCCGGCCAGGGCAGCGAGCGCGTGCTCGGCGAGAGTAGCGGCTGGAGGCTGCCAGGCTCCTGCTGGGACAGGACACCTACGACCCTGAAGATGGCAGGACCCGCTTCCACCACTGCCCGGCATTTCTCCACTCTCCGCTCCGTTTTCAAGCCGGATGCCCACCCCAAACCTCCAACCTAAAGATCCCTTGTAGGCCCTGCTCCCCTCATGGTGTCTTGTTGCCAGGAAACAACGGCTACGCATCCAGAAGCTGCACGTGCGCCCGTTCAGGGCGCTCAGGTCACGGGAGGGCTGGGCGTCCATGGCGAGCCTTCTCCGAGCGACACAGAGCCCCACCGCCGTTCCAGCGCTCGCCCTGCCCTTTCTGACACGCCCAGCCCCGGGCCCACCGCTGGCTCCTCAGCGAACCCTGGATCTCAGCAGCCCAGACCCGGGGCTTCCCCACCTTCTCAGTCTGCAGGGCCAGTGCACGGAAGAAAGCTCTCTCTCTTGCAAACGCGCATGTCCTGTCCCCAGGAAGCCTCCTGAGTGGAGTCCAGGACCTCAGGAAGTGAATGTGTGCCGCGGGGCAACCGGCAGGGGACGAAATCACGGCCACAGATGGAGATGCCTTCACGCCGCTGGGAGGCTGCTGTGAGCCAGGGCTGCACGACTGGCCGGGACCCTCGCATCGGCCACACTTCCTACAGGGCCTCTCAGTCTAACCAGGGGCCAGGCAGCACGTGCTGCCCACACGCCCAGACACCGCCCCCCTCGGGCGGGAGTCTCCGGCTGCTCCCCGCTTTCAGAGGAGAGCACAGCAGCAGGAAATAGGCAGCGCGGCATCCCCATGGCTGTGGGAGGCTCTGAGGAGAAAGTGACTTTCCTGGTAAAGCCCAGCCAATGGGGAAGTGACCGGTGCAGTGAACAACGCCAATGAGAAGTGATGGCGACGACCGGCCATCACTGCCTGACCACCACCCTGGCCGTCCCGCCAACCGCTCCAGAGCTGCCCCCGTGGACGCAGTGAGCCCCGCCCCACGGCCGCGCAGGACGCACAGTGAGGCGGCGGCACCGCTCGGGGCTGCGCTCCGCTCCACGCAGAGCTCTTCCCATGCTGGGGGTGTGGGATCGTCTGTGGCGGGAACCACGATCAAATGAGGAATTTGTCCAGGGATTCAAATGGAAGGAACACCCAGGGACAAACACCTGAATGAACTCCACACACAGATCATGCCTGTACAGGCTAAAGCCAAGTTACTGGCTGCTGAGACCAGGAACCTGGCCCTGGTGCGTGGGGACGTCAGCAGCGGGGCCGGCGGGAAGGGAGGCTCACCTCCTCCTCCTCCTCGGGGACCTTGAGAGCATTGTCCGGGGACTTGACGGGCTTCTGGCCGCTGGGCCCATTGGTCTCTTCCTTCCCATGCTCCGCCTCCCATTCTTGTAAAACTTCATCTATGTTGAAGCGGCGTCGATAATTTACGAAAAAGTTTTTCACTTGTACCACTGATTTGTTCCCAATCACATCTGAGATGGCCTGGAAGTCCCGGCCGTACTTCCTGATGGCTGGAGAGAACGCGTGTTTCAACACAGAGAACCGAGGAGAACCCCACGCTGAGGCCTTCCTGCATCCAGACGAGGAAACCCACAGGCTTCACCCCGGGCCTACCCGTCCCAGACCAGAGGGGTGGCCTAGCCACACCCAGACAGCTGACCCGAGGCCAGGGCGACCCTGCCAGCAGACGCCCCATGAACACTGGCCACCCAGCATTGACTGTGGGTGTGGACACTCCGCCCCCATCGTCTAGGGCCCCAGGACTACAACACCCCGACCTTAAACCCCAACACTAAGTCTGCTAAAATGAACTTCTCACACCTGTACCACTGACACCTCCACTCTAGCTTTAATCTTGTGATGTGGCTGAAAGTGGCCCCCCGGAGTCTGCTTCCACGCGAGCAGTGCGCTGGGCATGGGGCGTGGGGGAGCTCACCAGTCTCTCCTGAAAGGTCTCTAGAAGAAGAAGCCATACCTTGCACAGCGAGCAGCTGCTCCTCTGTGGTCCAGCGCGCGTTGCACTTCTGAATGACCTGGACACCCAAACGCGTCATGTCAGCACGCCCACCACCCACCCTTAGGAGCCACCCACCCTTTCTCAGGCCAGGCTCACGCCGGCTCGGCTTATGAAGCCATCACATCTTTCCCCAAGAGGGTGAGAGGTGCGCACTGGGGACAGAGCACAGGGTGTGGCCTCTGTGATGACGCTGACAGTCCTACCTCAGGAAGTCGGTACAGCTCAATTCCACCGTCGAGTTTTTCTTTGAGAGCACTGTTGGTCTGTTTAATGTTCTGAATCTAAGAGAGAAAAAACTATTATCCTATGTAATAAAAGCCTAATATGCAAATTGACCAAACATCAGAATGACGGTTCACTATGACACACACTGACCACCAGGGGGCAGACACTCCCGGCGGGTGCCAGCGGCCCCCCCCCCCCCCCCCCGATCGCCCTGCTGGTCACCCCACAGATCAGCCCTGATCACCGGCCAGGCCTAGGGACCCTACCTGTGTACGAATTTCGTGCACTGGGCCTCTAGTTTTAAAATAAAAAACTCTGAAGTAGGGTGTGGCGGGCTAGTCCACAGGCAGCGGGCACAGTGGGGCCCTGCTCTGCTCAGCGGGCTCTGGGCTCTGTGCCCGCAGGAGAAAGTGGCAGGAGAGTGATCTGACATCAGTTAAGGGTCCAAGGCACGAGTCAGTGACACTAAAGAGAACCTGGACGGTGCTGGTGGCTCCATGGCTTGTGGGAGAAAGAGAAATGGTCACTGGTGCGGAGAAGGCAGTGCTAATAAACAGTCCTGAGGGTTCTCGCTCCCTCTCCCTTCCTCTCTCTGAAATCAATAAAAACACCTTTTAAACAATATTTCCTTAATTGTTTAAGCTGCTGTTGGTCAGGTTTTCTGTCATTTCCAGGTGAATGGTTCCCTGACATACAACCAAACACGGGCCCCCAGATCACCTGCCACTGAGGCCGGTACGCCCGGCAGGAGCGTGAGGCTGTGGGCGGCAGACACCTGTCTCCGCCTCAGCAAGTCAAACTCGAAGCCCGCTCTCTTCGACCATGTGAATGAGGAGCCACCTTTAAGGTAAAAAGCCCTGCTCTTCTCTTGTCTACCCCGCCACAGCACCAGCAGCGCTGCGGAAGAGGGGTGCAGCCGCAGGGAGTCCCGCAGAGGAAGGGCAGATGCACCCGGGAGCCCACAGCCTGATTGGGGCAAGCGCTTCCCATGCAAGCAGAGCTCCCAATGCCCCGAGCTGTGGCCCTCGGCTGGCGCCCTGGAAGGTGGGGCAGCCCTAAGCTGGTGCCCCAGAAGGTGAGTGGCCCTCAGCTGGCACCCCGGAAGGTGGGTGGCTCTCAGCTGGCACCCCAGAAGGTGGGCAGCGTGGACTGACCTCCTCTCTGAAAAGAGGCCTGGGAGGCTGAGTGGTTCTCCTGAGATTAGAGTGCAGCTGCGTCAGCCGCACGCCAGGAGCCATGCCTCGGCCCCGGGCCTGCTGTCCTGGGCTCGTTCCCTCCTGCACCACAAGGCAGGGGGGCCTCGGACCCCACTCTTCTCACCCCCGAAAATGAGAGCCGACCTCCTATTAGACCTTCAAACAAGTCAAAGCAGCAAAAACTAAAGTAAACCCTCAGCCGACATCTGCCTTGATCTTGAATTCCGGACAGAGAGAGAGGAGGGGCGGGAGGGGGGGCAGAAAGGGGAAGCGCAAAAAAGGCAACACTAGGCTACGCAGGTGAAGTTCAGCTGCGATGTCCCAGGCAAAATTAGATTCAGACAACAAACACGCTACTTCTCATGCCAGCATCCATGGTGAAAAGGGTTACATTTTTTTTCTTTTTATTGATTTGCGAGAGGAAGAAAGAGTGAGGAGGCAGAAAAGGGTTAATTTAAAAAACAATGTCCTTTACAAGAAAATCAAAACAGCGCTAAGTATCTAGGAGTGACTCTAACGAAGGGCAGATAAGACCTACACACTGAAAACAACACAGCAGAGAAGCGAGAGGCCGCAGTAAGCACGGGCTATTTCATGGGTCAGGTGGTGTTAATTCTCTACTTTGATCTATAAATTCAGTACAATCGCAATCAAGACTCTAGCAGAATTATTTTTCTGGAAATTGAGAAGATGATTCTAAATTTAAATGGAAAAGGGCCGTGAATGGCTAAGACAATCCTGGAGGACTTGTACTACAGACCCCTGACTTACACTCTCCCTCCAGACAGTACCTGCTGTGAAGGAGGACAGACAGACAAGGAGCGGACAGGAAACCCGCACTGACCACCGGAAGCTGCAAGGAAAACGAAGGCCCCTGCCCTGCAGCAGGGGAGAGCAAACTTTTCAACATGCAGCACACGGTTCACTAGGAACCCGCACGCCACACTGACCTGCGCAGAGCAGCACACACAGGAAAACCTCCGGGCAGACTGACGTCCAAACTGTAAGAGGCTTGGACAGATACAGGCAGACAAAAGCAAGCAGCCCACCTTCTACCCCACACAGGGATGCACCCGGCATGGGTTAAAGACTTAAAGCTCAGACTTGAAACCATAAACATTCTAGAAGAAAACATAGGCAGTAAAACCTCGGACATTTCTCGTAGCAATATTTTTTCTGATATATCTCCTTAGGCAAAGGCAACAAAAAGAAACAAAAAGAAAAAATAAACAAATGAGACCACGTCAAACTAAAGAGTTTTTGCACAGCACAGGAAACCATCAACAACATGAAAAGACAGCCCACTGAATGGCAGAACATATTTGCCAATGATATATCTGATAAGGAGTTAATATCCAAAATTTATAAAGAACTTTGAAAAATGCAACTGCCTTAAGACCCAGTGATTCCTCTTCTGGGAATTTATCCAAAGAAACCCAAAACACTAATTCAAAAGAATGTATGTATCTCTATGTCCACTGCAGCATCATTTACAACAGCCAAGATGTGGAAGCAACAAGTGTCCATCAGCAGGCGAGCGGCTAAAAAAGCAGTGGAACATGTACACAACGGGATACTACTCTGCTGTAAAAAGAATTTTTTTTAAAGAAATTTTTTACCCTTTGCGACAGCATGGATGGACCTGAAGAACATTACACTAAGCGAAATAAGCTGGTCAGAGAAAGACAAGTGCCACATGATTTCACTCATACGTGGAATTTAAAGCGCAAACTGAACTAGTAAGTAAAACAGACTCAGAGAGAGAAAGAAGGCTGACAGCTGGGGGAGTGAATGGTTGGGGAGGGAGACTGAGCAAAAAAGAAAAAAAAATAGAACTCATGGGCACGGACAACAGTGTGATGATTGAGGGGGTGAAAGGGGATGAGTGCAGGGATGAGGCATAGAGGGAATAAATGGTGATGTTTGAAAAAAATAACATAAAATGATAACATTTTTAAAATGTAAAAGGCAAAACAACACTAGGATCACATGCCGGAATATCTTCCTTACCTCAGGAAGGCTGTTAACAGACTCAGAGAGCACTAACCACAGAAGACAAGAGTGAGAAACTGGGCGACTTCAAGTTAAGAATTTCTGTGACTCAAAAGATACCATGAGGAGAGTGAAACGCCTTAAAACAGAAACGGACGATTTGTGCCCCCTCTTCCCGGGCCAGTTCGCAATGCCTTGGGACATTTCTGTTGGCACAGCTGGTGCGGGGCACTGCTAGCATCTGGTGGGTGAAGGCCAGTGACGCTGCCGGCACTCGCTCAGGCACAAGACAACTCCCCACAGAGGAGAACTACAGCCCACATCTCGGCAGTGGTGATCCGGGGGGAATCTCGCACTGCAGCCCACATCGCACCAGTGGTGATCCGGGGGAACCTCGCACTGCAGCCCACATCGCACCAGTGGCGATCCAGGGGAACCTCGCACTGCAGCCCACATCGCACCAGTGGTGATCCGGGGGGAATCTCGCACTGCAGCCCACATCTCGGCAGTGGTGATCCGGGGGAACCTCGCACTGCAGCCCACATCGCACCAGTGGTGATCCGGGGGAACCTCGCACTGCAGCCCACATCGCACCAGTGGTGATCCAGGGGAACCTCGCACTGCAGCCCACATCGCACCAGTGGTGATCCGGGGGGAATCTCGCACTGCAGCCCATATCGCACCAGTGGTGATCCGGGGGAACCTCGCACTGCAGCCCACATCGGACCAGTGGTGATCGGGGGAACCTTACACTGCAGCCCACATCGGACCAGTGGTGATCGGGGGAACCTTACACTGCAGCCCACATCGCACCAGTGGAGATCCGGGGGAACCTCGCACTGCAGCCCACATCGCACCAGTGGAGATCCGGGGGAACCTCGCACTGCAGCCCACATCGCACCAGTGGTGACCAGGGGAACCTCACACTGCAGCCCACATCGCGCCAGTGGAGATCCGGGGGAACCTTACACTGCAGCCCACATCGCACCAGTGGTGATCAGGGGAACCTCACACTGCAGCCCACATCGCACCAGTGGAGATCCGGGGGAACCTTACACTGCAGCCCACATCGCACCAGTGGTGATCAGGGGAACCTCACACTGCAGCCCTCATCGGACCAGTGGTGATCAGGGGAACCTCACACTGCAGCCCACATCGAGCCAGTGGAGATCCGGGGGAACCTTACACTGCAGCCCACATCGCACCAGTGGTGATCAGGGGAACCTCACACTGCAGCCCACATCGGACCAGTGGTGATCAGGGGAACCTCACACTGCAGCCCACATCGCGCCAGTGGTGATCCGGGGGAACCTTGCACTGCAGCCCACATCTTGCTGCTTTCTGTGCGTAGCCCCTACCCCAGCAATTCCACAAGGATACACGCACAGTGCAAGGGTCACACAGAAGAATGTTCACATCAGGATTATTTGTAATAGCCCCAAACGGGGAACCCAGACATTTACCCAGCAGTGAGAAAGAATGAGAACCACGGCTCTATACTACATGGATGCTCTCACGTTACATGAAAACCAGACATGCAAGAAAACACATCATGTCATCTATAGATAGAAAAGCCTAACATGCAAATTGTCCCCTTGGGAGTTCGATTGCTCCCTATGACGTGCGCTGACCACCAGAGTGCAGTGTGGAAAGAAGGAAGGCCCCGATCGGCCCTGATCGCCGGCCATGCCTAGGGACCCTCCCCGTGCACGACTTTTGTGCACCAGGCCTCTAGTTTTTCTATAAAATCCAAAAGTGCATCGCAATCATTGGTGGTGTTGAAGTCAGAATCGTGGCCGCGCGCTGGAGAAGGCGGGGTGAGCAAGAGGCACGAGTGGAGCAGGCGCTGCTGTGCTCGGGGTGACAGTCATCGGAGGGGACGCGAGTGGGGCTTCAGAAGCAACGGCCATTTCTTGGCCCAGAGAGAGGTTAGCTGGACGTCAGTGAGCACACACACACACAAGCATTTATATGCACACACTTGACATCGACTTCAAAGTGAATTCAAGAAAAGGCAGTGAGCCAGTACTAAGATCTTCCGCCCAACTCCTTAGGGCAAGTGCCCTTTGGAGGTGTGTGGGAGGAGAGCACCCGCGCGTGTGAACAGTGACCCCCCCCCCCCAAAGCCTCGTCAGCTCCCCAGTTCGGGCGGGTACCTGGCGCTTGATGGAGACCAGCTCCATGTCCAGCTGGCGCAGCACCGTGGTGGCCGCGGTGGCGTTTGCAGACACGGCCTCCACGTCTTCTTGGGAGAGGAACATCCCTTTCGGAGGTTTCCTCTTGGCTCTGTTCTTGGCTTGGGTGCTATGCTTTTCTTTCTTGATCTGAGGGACTGTCTCAGCAGGGGGCACCTGCACAATACACAGATTTGGATGTATGTGACACCAAAAACCTTAAAATGCCAAATGGACAGTAAACGTGTATTTCCTCACCACGGCTCCACACAGTCCATGACAAGCACCAGGCTGCATCGTCCCCGCACCTCCCGTCCTAACAGGGCGGCAGGCAGAGACTTCGGCTGCTGGGCTCTGCCTGGACGCCTGGCAGAGGACCCGCTCCCTGCCCACAGCTGCACCCTCACTCTCACTCGGAGGCTCTGACAGCAGCGCCTCAGCTCCCTGCAGTGACGGGGGGCACCTGCGCGCTGCGCTGCCCACAGAGGGTAGGAGCTGCTTGTCCGCACAGGCCCCACTGTACACAGGGAGGGAGGGAGGGGAGGAGGGAGAAGAGGGGAGGGAGGGAGGGAGGGAGGGAGGGAGGGAGGGAGGGAGGGAGGAGGGAGGGGGGAGGGAGGGGGGAGGGAGGGGGGAGGGAGGGGGGAGGGAGGGAGGTTGGTTGGTTCAGCATATGTATAAAGATCCATTTAAATTCTTTAAATCTTTATACAAGTTTAAAAATATACAAACTTCAATATGAAACTGACTTTTTACACATTTTTTTGGGGAATGACATTTAACTTTTAGAGCAATTGTGCCCTAAAAATCTCCTTCAAAAAAATATAAGCTGTCATTGAACTGCACGGCTGCTGCTAATTTTTTAAGCGCTTTCTCTCTGAATCCAAAACCTGCAGAAATGAAGTGCAGTGGAACCTTGGCCAGGAAAGGCAACGTCTCCCTGTTAACCCTTTTAAGAGCAAGAAGTGTATGTCTTTGCTGATAAACTGAGAATCTCTTCACATTGTGAGACCAAGCTGAAGGCCATGCAGACTGGCAGCGGCAGTGAGTCCCGCAGCGGGAGCAGAGGCCCGCGGCCCCGCAGTGAGTCCCGCAGCGCTAGCAGAGGCCCGCGGCCCCGCAGTGAGTCCCGCAGCGCTAGCAGAGGCCCGTGATGCCGCCACAGCGCTATGCTGTTCAGCAAAGACCTCCGATGGGCAGCGTGTCTGTTTTAATAACACTTAGGCGTGTAAACTATGATTTAAGCATTTTTCTTTTTGACTCAGAAACTGAGCTATATAAATAAGAATTACAGAATTTAATATAAAATCAACCTTTTCTCTTCTTTTAAAATGTTCCATTGAAGAACCTAATAGACAGTGCGACAAAACAAAGCTCACTATGCATTCCCAGTCCGATCTGATTTCTTAGACGGTCTTAACCGAACTAACCCCTAAAGCAATCTTGTTATTTGGACTCATGTAAATTGCTGGCAGAGTGCCATTGGGAAAGAATGACTAGTTCCCCATTTGGTGATATAACCAGACCAAAGAAGCCTTAAAAACATATCTAGAACACTTTGACCCAACTGTCAACATCCAGAAATTAACTGTAATGGGAAAAATTAAGTGCACTAATACTTAGTTATGAAATCAGCATTGTTTATGACAGCAAAAAGCAGGGGCAAAACTGTAAAAACCCACGAGGATTAATTTCCTCCATTATGGACACGCTGTATGATGGACTAACACACAGTTGTGAGGGGAAGCACAGGACTGGCTGGATGTCTATGAGGAGGAGTCTCCGAAAGGTCGGGGCCTCTGGGGGGACTTGGCCGAAGGCGGCAGCCCCTGCCCTTACTTCTCTGCAAGTCCGATCCCCTGGGGTGTTTTGCTAGAATCTCTGTTTAGTCTTTTAAGACCCGGCCTTGTAGAAGCATGAGCTTTCTCAATCAGCCTGCCCTGCTGATTGTATCTAGAGGTTAATTTTAGTTCAAGCTGTTGTGACAATAAAAGCCAAGGCGGCAGAAGAACAGGGCTACTTGGCGGCAATAGCCAAGTAGAGCCTTAGCCGCTCTTTCACAGAAACGTGTGTTAGAGTCATCATTCATCTGTCGCTCAGGGTCTGGTCAGCCCCGGCACAGTTGTGTATACAAATGTATTTGACATAAACAGAGTAAATTTGAAAGGTTATAAAATTTATATGTAGATAAAGATCCCATTTATATATTTTAAAATAAATATTTACACAGAACTAAGTATATAGGCATATACTTAAAAACATTTTAAAAATATTTGAATTGATTTCAGAGAGGAAGGGAGAGGGAGAGAGAGAAACATCAATGATGAGAGAGAATGATTGATTGGCTGCCTCCTACATGCCCCCTACTGGGACCAGGCCTGCAACCTGGGCCTGTGCCCTTGACTGGACTCGAACCCAGGACACTTCAGTCCACAGGCCGATGCTCTATCCACTGAGCCAAACCAGCTAGGGCTACTTAAAAACATTTTTTTAAATTTTATTTGAGAGCGAGAGAAAGGGAGAGGGAAGGAAGGAGGGAGGGAGGAAGGGAGGGGGAGGGGGAGAGAGAGATCGATCGATTTATTGTTCCACTTATTTATGCATGCATTGGTTGATTTCTGTATGTGCTCCAAGCAGGGATAAAATCTGCAGCCTTGGTGGACAGGGACAACACTCTAACCAACTGAGCTGCCCAGCCCACACACTCCTTACAGAGGAACGTGTGAATGGGGACCATGGTGTAAGTGGTTTCATTTTCTCCTTTTGGTTAGCTGTATTTCATACTTTGTCCATAAGGAGCACATGGTACTGGTGTCATGTCAAGGTTAGGCCTGTCTAGACCCTTCTACTTTCCTGCCTGAAGCAGCGTTCAGACCTCAGAGCCTGTGAGACAGAGAACCTTCCAGTTTAAGAAACTGCAGGCTCTGCCTTCAGAACAACTCCCGTGATTGCCAGTGAAGGTCCTGCCCACAGTGGGGCCAGCACCGCAGCCTGAGGGCCCCGTGGCCGGCCTGCTGCAGGCAGTGCTGGATTGTGGGGTTCCCCCAGAGCCGCGGAGCTGGGGTTTCCTCGGAGGGCCCACAGAGCTTTAGTCAATGTTATGAATGGACAAAACAATGCCAGACTGCGACCCCCATTTCAAAAGGCTAACTTCCCAACACCCCCCTATTCTTAGTGTACAGGTTACCAAAGGCGCCCACAATGGTGGGGTTTTGTGAGGCAGGCCCCTGAATCCAAGCACTAAAAACCTCCGGCATATGCCTTTCACGATGTGAACGATTACACTTCACCGTGGGAGGCCCAGCTCGTGACCTGCGCTGTTGCTTCTGAGGAAGGAGAGGAGTGTGAGGAGAGGGCGTGACAGCGCGGGGGAGCCACGGGCCGAGGGGAGCCGCGCCCTGGCCTGGCCTCGGGAGCACCCCTCTCTGAAGCGCTGGTGGCAGCGAGGACTCCGCCAGACACACTGTCACTCGTCACTGCCATCTTTCCTTCAAGACTGCCTTGACTCATGCTTCCTGGCGAGCACAAGGCTAAGTTCGCTAAGGCCTGGTTATTATTGCTCAAAATGCATATCAGGACGCCCTGTGCCACAGAGCAATTACTGCCTTCGTAGAGTAAGAGAGGGGAAGGGATGTCTGCTTGTGAACGAGCAGGAACATCTATTTGCCTAACGGGGAAAATACCTCCTTTTTGCTTTCCTTGTTCTGATCAATCTCAAGGTCAATGGGATTGTTTCCATTTGCTTCTTCCAGTTCATCCTCACTGAAAGACAAGAAAAAGTGACTGAAAGGTTATTCGGTATTAATTACTTAATATACAAATACATTGATATGATATGAAATTAGTATGTTTTCAGACTCTGAGATAAAAACATTTTTACAATTCAAATAAAATACCAATCCCACAGTTCCTTCAGTCTAAATGATTAAAATCAACTATTAAAATGGGTTTCTAACTCCCAAACGGGCCTACAACCCTGTTGCTTTATATAAAGTATTTTTTCTCAACTGAAAATACGAAATTTAAGACACTGACTTTATTTCCCCATAATTATCTGGTGGAGAACTGGGACCTGACCGTTAGGCACAACCAAGAATGTTCACGCATGCAGTGCCTCTGCACAGGGACCGCCTGCCGCCCGCGGCCCCGGCGAGCACAGGGCGGGCTGCGGGCGGGAGCAGCTGGGACTTAGAGCCAGTCCATCCCACCGAGGCCCTGGCTGCGCCGTCCCTGCAGCCGCTATGTAAAGAGGACAAGAGCTCGCCGGGAAGGTCACTAGGAAACTAGAAGACAAGGCCCAGCAGCCTGCCCACTAAGGCCAAGATGGCGCGGCCAGAGAGCTCGGGTTTCCAACAGCCACATCCCACTTGCATCCAGAGACCACGCCCCCTTTACCCCACTCCCCTCTCTATCCCCATCCTCCATGGCCCAAGGTGGCATAAGTTCTGGCTGAGGAAAGAGTGTGAAGGAAAGAAAGAGCCTGGGCTGAGGGTGCTCTGCCCCCGTCCCCGCCCTGGCACCACAGCAGGTCCCAGCAGAGACAAGCCGGGCCCCTGCCCTGGCGGGCGCCTCCTGCCTGCATCCTGGGGAGTGACGTGCCCGCGGAGGTGGGAGCAACATACCACCTGGGGCGTCATTTCACACTCAGCACAAGTCCCATCCTGTTTTGGTATTTAATGCTGCTTTCAGAGGGTAGACTGCATCTGTCTGCAGTAATAAACCGACCTTACACTCAGTGCACGAGACCTGACATATCACGGAAATAACGATGTCCACGCAAAGTTGCTGCCACACTGAAGACACTCGGTAGGGAGGCTGGCCACCTTTCTCTGTCATGAGGAGTGCTGAGCAGACGCCGACATGCCCCCTGTGTGTGCTGGAGACCAAGCCACAGCAGGCGCCTTGAGGTCAGCGCGGGCGATGCTCAGCGTTGCACATGTCACCCGGGAGCCGGGCGGGCGAGCTCTCCCGGAGAGCTCAGCTCTCAACTCGTTCCCACGTGTTGTTCTCTCTCATTTGAAATCATAATACTCTTCTGAGATGGGGCCAAATTACCACTAGTTTACAAAAATAATGTATTACGCAAAATGTGGAAAATGTAATTTTAAAAAGCCGCCTATAGGAGAAACTAAGATGGCGGCATAGATAAACACCGGGAAATTTCTGCTTCCCACAACAATCGATAAATGCATCAGAAACACAAGGTGGACATCATCCAGAACTACAGGAGGGCTGGCTGAGTGTAAATTCTACAACTAGAAGGAAAGAAAAGCACACTGCGAGCGGGAGGAGCTGCGGAGGTGGCGTGCAGAGGTACGGGGGCTCGCGCGCGCGGAAAGGGTCTGGCACCTGAGGACGCGGCTGTCTTTTTGAATCCGGAGGGAGACACAAGCTCCCGACGGCTCTGAAATCCGGTTCCGGGAAGTCTCTGGGGACCCAGGGCTCATACGGGGAAATACTGGACTGTCTGGCAGCGGGCGAGCTTGAGAGCGGCTTTCCCTCAGAGGTGCTTGCAGCCGTTGCCGGGACACTGGGACTCGCGACTCCTTAGGGCAGGGCTGAGGCTCCGCCATAGCTGCTTTCTCAGCCCTTTGATTCCTTGAGACCCCGCCCCACCCAGGCTGCGGCAGAGGCTTTTGCATATGAATGCCCCGGCCATTTGCAACCTGTAATTACCTAACCGCAGCCGGGCCAGATAGACTCAGAGCTTCCAAGAGAAGGCCCAGGCCCCACAGCGGCTTGCATTGCTACACAGCTGAGCATCATCAGGGCAGCTGATTCTCGCTGCCAATTGCCCTGGAGGTCAATTCCTCCCAGTGATCCTACAACAACCAAGGCATAGCTACAACAAGACTGTGCACAAAGCCCACGAGGGGGTGCACCAAGAGTGTCCACCTCAGGTAACTGGGGAGGCTGAGCTACTGGGCCCTACAGGACACCTAGCACACAAAGCCACTCTATCAACACAGGGAAGCAACCAAAATGCGGAGACAAAGAAACAGGTCACAAATGGCAGAAATGGAGGAAAGCAAACGATTGGATATAGAGTTTAAGGCCACGGTTATAAGGTTTTTCAAGAATTTTATGGAAACCGCCGATAAATTTAATGAATCCCTCAATAAGTATAGGGAGACCATGGAGGACATGAAAAAGGACCAACTAGAAATTAAGCATACACTGACTGAAATAAAGAATAATTTACAGAGATCCAGCAGCAGAAAAGAGGATCCCAAGAATCAAGTCAAAGATTTGAAATACAAAGAAACAAAAAATACCCAACCGAAAAAGAAAAAAGAAAAGAGATTCCAAAAATATGAAGATAGTGTAAGGAACCTCTGGGACAACTTCAAGCGTACCAACATCAGAATTATAGGGGTACCAGAAGGAGAGAGAGGGCAAGATATTGAAAACCTTTTTGAAGAAATAATGACAGAAAACTTCCCCTACCTGGTGAAAGAAATGGACTTACAAGTCCAGGAAGCGCAGAGAACCCCAAACAAAAGGAATCCAAGGAGGACCACACCAAGACACATCATAATTAAAATGCCAAGAGCAAAAGATAAAGAGAGAATCTTAAAAGCAGCAAGAGAAAGACAGTCAGTTACCTACAAGGGAGTACCCATACGACTGTCAGCTGATTTCTCAACAGAAACCATGCAGGCCAGAAGAGAGTGGCAAGAAATATTCAAAGTGATGAATAGGAAGAACCTGCAACCAAGATTACTTTATCCAGCAAAGCTATCATTCAGAATAGAAGGTCAGATAAAGAGCTTCACGGATAAGAAAAAGCTAAAGGAGTTCATCACCACCAAACCAGCATTATATGAAATGCTGAAAGGTATTCTTTAAGAAGAGGAAGAAGAAAAAGGAACTCTTACCATTTGCCACAGCATGGATGGAACTTGAGAGCGGATAAATACCACAGGATCTCACTCATTTGTGGAATATAATGAACAACATAAGCTGATGAACAAGGACTGATCCAGAGACGGAGAGGCATTGATTGGACTGTCGGGACTTGGAGGGAAGGTAGGGGAGGGTGGGGGAGGGTGGGGGTAAGGGGGAAAGATCAACCAAAGGACTTATATGCAAGCATATAGGCCTAACCAATGGACATGGACAACGGGGGGGTGAGGGCATGAGCGGGGGTGGAGGGCGTGGGGGGTAGAGGGTAACGTGGGGACAAGGACACATATGTAATATCTTAATCAATAAAAATATATTAAAAAAAAAATGAAATAACATTTATGAAAGTACCTAGAAAAAAAAAAAAAAAAAAAGCCGCCTATATTACCACCAGCCTCACCCAAAGACCACTGTGCTGTGTGCTGGCGCCTGGCCCTGAAGCGCCTTCCTTTGCAGATGAGGGGCCGGGGCCAGGGCCTTCCAGCCGAACGTGGTGCCTACGCCCGCGTGGCCACTCCCCCTGCGCTGTGCCTACAGGGGCCGAGGACCTGAGGACAAGACGCATCCTTTCACTAAACTCACTGTGAAACTCGCGTTCACTAAGAAACCATGAAATGCTTCTCTCTCACTCACGCGTGCAAAACAGTCAAAAGGGAAGAAGCACTGGCATCTAACACACCGAGCACAAGCACATGCCAAGTGCATCTGTGCAAGCACGGCAGGTAAAGCTCCACCCAGAGCCCGGCTGGTGTGGCTCCGTGGAGAGAGTGTGGGGTGAAGGGTCCCGGGTTCGATTCCAGTCAAGGGCACGTACCTTGATTGCAGGCTCCTCCCAGGCCTGGGCCCTGGTCAGGGCGCCTGCAGGAGGCAACCAACATCGATGTTTCTCTCAGCCCCTCTCCCTTTCACTCTCTCTAAAAATCAATGGACAAATATCCTCGGGTGAGGAGTAACAAAAAAAGTTGATTTAAAAACTACGCCCAGGAAAGAACAGATCCCTGCTATTAAAGAAGACGCCCTGGCGCAGGCCCAGTGGCTCAGGTGGTTGGAGCGTCGCCATCCTGATACACCAAGATTGTGGGTTCGATCCCTGGCCAGGGCACATACAAGAGTCCACCAATGAATGTATAAATAAGTGCAACAACCAATTGGTATTCCCCATCCCCTCTTTCTAAAATCAATTTTTTTAAAAAAAAAGCCGCCCTTAAGGGGCATGAAAGAATGTGTGGGGAAGCTTCCTGGCAGGAGAGTGGCGAGAAAAGTGCTGCAGGAAATGCCACGGTGCGTGAGCACAGCGTCAGCAGCGAGGGAAGCATGTTGTGAGTCTGGTTCCAGCAGGAAGGCCCTGGGGGAACCCAGCCATGACTCGCGTGTGTGTCCACCAGCTCACAGCGTTCTAGCGACTCCGAAGGTCCCCCGGGGGGGACAGCACCCAGGCGCCACTGACCTTTCCTCCCGCTCTCGCTTCTGCTTGCGAGCGTGGCGATCCATCACACTGGTCTTAGTCCTCGTCTTCTTCCACGAGTAGTAAAATTTCACCAGACTCGCTATCGACTTGTCAGGAAGCTAAATGTAAGAAAGAGCTGACTTAGATTTAAAACTAACCTTTCAGAATCAAACGTGCTTAGACCCACTTATAGGGTCACGCTCACGTCCTCAGAAATGTCATAAGTCACAGCCCCTCCACAACAAGGAGAATCATGAAAGGTTCTTCATACATTTTCAAATGACTAAGTGTGACTGTAAGCGAAACGGCAGTTTAAGATGAATCCGTTTCCACACACCTCAAGTTTCTAACATAACTTTTGGGGAACTTTAAAAAAGCTCATTTGAGCCCTAATGCAACGTAGTAGGAG